ATCATCAGTACGCTGATGATACCCAGCTCTACCTCTCGTTTTCCACCAAATCCAGGTGAGGGAGTGGCTGTACTGAACCAGTGCCTGGCCGAGGTAATGGGCTGGATGAGGGCCAATAAACTGAAGCTCAATCCAGACAAGACGGAGGTCCTGTTGGTTGGTGGATCGGGCTTCGGAGAGGGTGAATTGAACTTAGTCCTGAATGGGGTTCACTCCCTCTTAGGGACAAGGTCCGCAGCCTGGGAGTGCTCCTCGACCCAGAGCTTTCATTGGAAGCTCAGGTGACAGCAGTGGCGAGGAGCGCTTTCCTTCAGCTTTGGCTGATCCATCAGCTGCGCCCCTACCTGGAGTACGACTGGCTGGCAACAGTGACACATGAGCTGGTGACTTCCCGCCTTGACTTCTGTAATGCGCTCTATGTGGGGCTACCCTTGAAGACAGTCCGGATACTTCAATTGGTTCAAAACAGAGCTGCCAGGCTGCTGACTGGGCGTTATGTTCACATGACTCCAGTCCTCCGTCAGCTTCACTGGCTTCCCATTGAAGTCCGGGCCCAATTCAAGGTGTTGGTGATGACCTATAAGCCCTAAACGGCTTGGGTCCTGTTACCTGAAGGAGCGCTTACATCCATATACGCCCACCCACCCCTTGAGATCTGCGGGAGAGGCCCTTCTCCGGGAACCCTCCGTGAAAGAAATTAGGAAGGTAGGTACTTGGAGGAGGGCTTTCTCTGCGGTGGCGCCCAATCTATGGAATGCGCTCCCCAGAGAGGTCTGCTTGGCGCCGTTGTTATTTGTTTTTTGGCGCCAGGCGAAGACCTTTTTATTTAAACGTCATTTTAATTGTTAATATTATTTGCTTAATTTATCTGGACAGGGCGACTTATTTTATATTGTTAATTTGTTGTATGTATTATATTTTAATTTTATGTTGTGAGCCGCCCCGAGGCTTTGGCGAATGGGGCGGCATAGAAATGTTTTAATTAATAAATAAATAAATAAAATAAACTCTTTGTGACCCCATGGACAACATTCCTCCAGGTTCTCCTGTCCTCCACAATCCCCCGGAGTACACCCAACTCCACACCCACCTCTCCAGTGATCCCATCCAGCCACCTCAACCTCTGCCGTCCACTTCTCCTTCTGCCTTCAATCATTCCCAGCATCAGAGTCTTTTCCAATGAGTCCTTCCTTCTCATTAGGTGGCCAAAGTATTTGAGCTTCAGCTTCAGTACCTGACCTTCTAAAGAGCAGTCAGGGTTGATTTCCTTGTCTAGGCATTTACCCACATATATTTTGGGCTAGGAACAATAGAAGGCAAAAGAAGAAGGGGACGGCAGAGGATGAGGCGGCTGGATGGGGTCACTGAAGCAGTTGGTGTGAGCTTAAGTGGACTCTGAAGGATGGTGGAGGACAGGAAGGCCTGGAGGAATGTTGTCCATGGGATCGCGATGGGTCGGACACGACTTCGCGACTAACAACAACAACAACATTTTGGGCCTGCAACTCCTACCTGTTGCACTGGCTTCCAATGGCACTAAGATCAAGGACTCCAATTATTAGAGAGCTTTTCACTCTTCCCAACTATCTGTCCCTCCTGCAGATGCACAATCTGCTCTGAGTCTTGAGAGAACATGTTACACGTAGAGAAGCACAACTCTCCTCATTTCTCTAATTGCATTTAAATGCACAAGCACTCCCTCTGTTCTCAGGAAGGACCTGGGCTAGCAATTCACTGCACAGAATTTTCCTTGTTCTGCTCTAAGTCTATTTCTGATTGGCTTTAGTCAAGCTCACAGCGTCCAAGCAATAAGTACACTAATACAGGAAGTCACATTTCATAAACATCTGCAAGAATGATCTACAATTTAGCCCCATCCCAGCCCCCAGCCCCACCCGAGATCTCCAGGTCCTGGATAAAGTGTAATCTCCCCAACTCTGCCACTGGTTGGGTCCTGGCTGTGCTGTACCCCATCTCTTCCTCTTCTTGGGCATAAAGGAAAATGTTTGATGATGCTTGCCTCAGATTTCCTCACCACAGCTATGTGAAGACAGGAGAACTTGCAACATGATGCTATCACATCATGCATTCCCTTTTCTGATACAGCTGGAGGAAGAAAAGGACTGCAGTTCCAAACTAATTGCCAACTGAACAAGGGTTTGTCTGAGTGTGAACAAACATCTATATTTGTAGAAAGTGCTTATTTAGCACTCAGGTCTGATTCTTACTAGTAGCATAAACAACAGGGCTTGTAAATATGTTGTGTTAGAAAACAGTCATTACTCTCCAGTGCTAACCTGTTATTCTATATAGGTCATTCTGTCCTTGGGTGGGGACAGACTCTCTTTGCTCTGTTTGCTTTATGACAAGCTGAAGACTGGAATCAGCTTGTGGAAGCTTGGCTTTGGGTACCAAGGCAGGGGACAGTCTGGCTTGCCAACTGGTTTTAATGCCCTTTGTGTCTGCGCCTTGTCTGTGAAATAACACTTCCATTGTTGTTGCTGCAGTTGGTGGTGGTGTTTTTCCTTTCTGACGATCATCTCCACTATGGAGAGCTTCACAGGTTGGACATATGCCTTCACTTGCACCCAAAGCCTTCACTGGCAGATGCGTGAGGGCCAGGGTTTGGGGATTTTATTATTGTCTTCAAAGAGAGGAAAAAGTCATCCTTTAGAATGGGGTTGAGACAATTTGTGGCTCTCCAGATTTTTCAGTCTACAGCTACCAATTAAAAATCATTAACACAAGTCAGCAGTTCATACACAACAAAGCTTTGTGTATGCATACACACACACACACACACACACTTAGAATGCCCTGTTTTGCAGGAATAAGATTCCCCTTTTTACTAGTCTGACTCACTGGATTCAATTAATTAAGACTAAATAAGGTGTTTTTCACATCCTCCTATGTCCACCAAAGTTCTATCAATGTAAATGTATGCATAAGAACTCAATTATTGACAGGATTGCAGCTATAGGGTTCAAACATACAGTACATTCTTCAGAATCTGAAACCCTGCATAAACATTATTTTAGTTAAGAACTGCAGCAATCCAAATAGGATCTGGAAATCAAAGTACTAAGCAGGAAATGCAGTTGTGAAGCAGAAGAGTTTTTCCTATAAACTGGAAGAACAGTACTTTGGAAGTGGTTAAATTATTATTGACTCAGACCCTTTAGCATATTTTACCCTGGAACTATTCTGCCAAAGTACATGTTTCTCTTAATTGAATAAATTTTCTGTGGTTAGAAATCACGTGTAAACAACAACACATGAGTCTGAAGAAAGTGACTACGTCAGCCTGTACCACTACCAGAACAGTGTAAGCTATGCACAGAATGACACACAAGCACAGAGCAACCAAGGGCAATAACTAGGCACTAACTAATCTATTTCAAAGACTGGCCCCGTAAGGCATAGAACTAGCAAAGAGCTGTTGAGACCCAGGTGTATATTATATCTACTGTGCCAGTGAATAGTGCCAGTCAGCACCAACAGATGAGGCATGGGATGTAGAAAACATAAGAGTAGATGTGGAAGGGGAAGGATGAGAGGGAAATCATGAGCCAGACTCAGAGAACATTTAAATCAATAACTTAACAGGGACCAGCCAGAAGTCCCAACCAGACCAGCCATGGTCCCTGTAACCAGATTTCTTCTGTCTGGTATTCTCCAGATGTTTTGGATTTCAACTCCAAATGACTCCAGCCAACATGGCAAATACTCAGAAAGTCTGGGCTGAAGAAGACTGCTGAAAACTGTACCTAAGAGCATACAGAGTCAGGGTACATCCATTCACTTCCACAATAGCCCCTCACTGAGGGAAGAAAATTACCCTAAGTGATGAGTGCAACGGGAAAAACTAGAGCCCTTCTCTCTGTGGAAAGTATGTGACCATTGAGTGGGAAGATCTGGTTCTAGTATGTGGAAACACACCTCGTGTTTCTTTTGGAGCACAACAGAAGAAAACAAAATACACACAAATCAGTTGGGTATGATGAGAGGACCAGGATGGTAAGATAAAACAAATCAGGTGGATTTGCTTAGGAATGCAGATAGAGCAAAATTCTTGCACATCCCTAGCAGAGTGTACAAGTGCTCCTGTGTAAGGTGAAATTCCCACATTCATCCAATAGCATCTCCTCTGAGAGGCTCTTAGCAAGGATTGGTTGGCAAGACCCAAAAGGAAGGAGAACTATACCTATTTACAGTAGGTGTACTGAACGCAGTGGCCCTTGGAATGATTCTATATCACACGTCTCTTAATATATGCTTCTTCTGGGATCATTCCCCTAAATTTGCTTAAGCAGTTTGGGAAAGTTAAGCTCAGATTCTTTTTATTCATCCTTCCAATACAAGTAATGGTATCTGTGAAATTCCCCTAGAGTTTGTTTGCTGTTTGTTTCAGGAAGTGTCCCTACTGAAAACTTCAGCCTACCATTAATCACAAGGCAAGACTGACCTTTAAAAGGCCATCATTCCTAATCCCCCCATGACAACATGAATTGGTTACCTGAGTTTTTGCTCCAGTGCTGTACAGAAGTGCAGTACGACCCATGGCTGCTGCACTCGGTATGCAAAAGAAAAATGAAGGGATCACATTGCTGAGGCCATGAGCCAAGAACTCCTAGAAAGGTTTAAAAAACTCATAAGCACACAGGAAGAGTTCAGCAAAAAGTCCATCTAATACAGCACCCTGTATCCTACAGTGGCCCACCGGTTGCCTTCAAGAAGCCTACCAGCAGGACTCGTAGGCCACAGCCCTCTAGATTGTTGCCTCCCAACAGCTGGTATTAATTGGCATATTGTCTCTGAGCAGAGAGATGTAATACAGACATCATGGCTAACAACCACTGGTAGATCTGTTCTCCATTAATTTGTCAAATAGCTTGTTAAGGCCATCCTGTAGTCATCACCATGTCTTGTGTATGTCACCATACAAAACCATACATTGTGTAAAGTTGTTTCCTAAATAAATAGTCACTCAGTTTCATCTAGTGATCCCAAGTCGTGGCTTTGTGGACAAAGAAGGATGCTGCTCCCTATGCCTTCTATCCATAATAATATGCGTAATTTACCAATTGTTCTCTTCCAAGGACTGGCCTTAAAAACATAGATTAGTATTTCTTGCTAGTCTAAAGTCTCTACTGGTTTATCATAGTGTAAGCGTAATCATATAGCTTTTTTTAAAGTGATGAACACTGATGGGTTTGCTTTTTGTTTGCTTTTAAAAACATTGTTCGCTTTTGAAAGCATTTTAAAAATGATGGCTTAGTTCTCTCTCCATCCAGTGCTGGAAATCATAGGTGTGTGATTTGTTTTGTTAGAACAGCAAATAACTATTTGCCCTGTAACAAGGCCATCCTCTGAGCAATTGGATGGTGACGTGACAGTAGCAGGAGAGCGGGACTTCCCTGAGTATATTGTTAATAATATAAATGATTTGTTTTACCATTGAGAAAGCTAGACTGAAAAGGAATGATAAACTATAACTACAACAAACAACAATGAGGTGCTTAAAAATGGACAGTGAAAAATCCCTTGTTTCAAATTCCACCTCAGAAAAACAAGAAATACAACCAAATTTGGTCTTAGTTAAGCCACTTTTTTTATTTCAGCTCCTCTCTTGGCGGTTGGTGATGATGGTGGTTGGTATTGATATTGTAAGACCTCTATTACAATAATACAACTGGTCTACTTGACTAGATTACTGTAACAATTATTGAAGTTTTCTCTCTCAGGTTAAGACCAAATCCCCTAGGATGCATTGGGCACGCACTGCAGTAGCCTCCTTTTGGGCGTCCAAGTCCAGCCATTAACATGAGACTATCTCAGCGGCTTCCAAGGGGTACAATTGGTCATACAGTAGATGCACAAGTGGCAAGGGGGCACTAGACTCGGAAGCTTCTATTTGAGTGGCACAGTGGTAATCATTGCACTAGCGCTTGTAGGTACCTTGAAATGCCTAGCATAGATCAGAATGATGTTCTGAGAAAAAAATACATTTTTAGTCTCTGGACCAGTATTCTTAATATCTAGAGGTCTCCATGCAATTCAACTCAGGTATTCTCAATTATTCTTAATCGCTTTTGGAGGAGTCCACCTACCTCTATTAACTACCTGGAATCCACTAAGAAATGCATTACACTAAGAAATACCTAGAGTATATTCAGCAATGTGTGGGTATCAGCAAAAACATAAACAATAATGACAAAAGACCTCTTACCTGGTTATCATCCACAGAATAGTTGAACCTTTTAGCAGAGGCCTGTGCGAGGGCTAGTGATGCTACATAACCAACTAATGCCACTCCAAATGCTTCTGTAATGACTTCAGGGAGGATATTCATAGGGGGAGGCCTTGGTGGAGGTATACTGCAAAAGTAAAGACTATCCTATTAGGTGGAGAATGTTATGCATTAGAATCAAAAAGCACATGTGCCAGCAGTGACAAATGGTTTGCATACTTAGAAAAATACTGCCAGTACAACGGTTGCAAACATGAAAGCCACGGGGTAACCATCTTAACTAAAACAGAAGGACACGTTTTCAGTTACATTGCTTATAATAATCACAAGTAGCAGAGCGACAAGGTCCAAGAAATGAGTGTGGTCATCAGTTGAGTGAACTCTGGGAGGCACACCCAAGTTTGCTGCCATATAATGACCATGTCATGATTGCCATATCATGGGTTAATAAGGCATTATTTTGCCAGGATAACCCATCCCTGTGCCACCCCTTCCTTCCTCCCTTCTCAGCAGGCCGTTAAAAGCAAGAACATCTTTAACAGACAATTCTGTGGCTGCTAGACAGCAGCTATATGACCATAGGATTTTTTGGATTCCTAGAGAAAAGGTTGGAAAATCACTCTGTCCCTTCCCTGGGGATTCACACACAGAGCCCCTTCCCTGCCTCATAGCTGTAAAGAGCTGTAACAGCTATTCTTCTGAGATGTAAGTATAACTTCACAGAAGGGCTTTTGGGGTATTCTAGGAGCAGGAAAGAAATGGGATCAGCACTGTCAAGATATGACATATCCTGGCTGGTCTCATTGCCTCTACAGCATCACACTCAAATCTCTGAAATCAACCATCTAACTGCTTTGCAGAAAAGAAAGCATATGAATGCAACTTTCATCTCTACCTGTCCTGCATAGCCTGTCTATAATCCTCTGATTTCAGCAGGATGCAGGTCTCCCCCTAGGACTGTGCCCCAAACTACCTACAGTTTCCTACTTCATTGAAACCAAAGTGCTACAGTTACCAAGTACGAAACAAGCCAGGATCTTAAACCACAGTTCCTACATGACATAAGATTCTGGCTTGTTCTAAAATGTGCAATTACAGTTTCTTGTTTTGACTTCCCCTGTAATTTGGCTTAAACTTTGGGGGAGGATTTGGAACTATCTGTCATGCTGGCATCATTATTTTGTTCATCCACTCTCAAAATCTTCTACAACTTTGGTTTGTATGGCCCAGCCTCATGGCAATAGAAAGAAAAAGATGGCTTGTCGGTCCACTTGAGCTCTGCACTGCTAAACTGCAGAGAAGGCCTCTCTTCCATTATTTATGCAGAATTCATAGACTTGCAACTTAGCATGAAAAGGTGGCATGAGGACAACTTCATTCAAAGTGGCTGAAGGAAAAACTTCCAGCTTATCACAGAGGCAACTGTGCAATATTAAATCTGTGAATGGAAGTGCTACCATTAATTAACTGTAGGCACTGAAATTAAGTGCAGGCACTGTTCTGAAGGAATTTCCTGATTTTATAGCCACAAAACCACAATCTGTTCCCCCTTTTCAATTTTAAGCTCAGTTTAAGCTGGATAATATTTAAGCAGTATTTGCATTCTTCGGTACCACAATGTCTGCCAAATATCAAAAATGTTCTGCCTCATCTGCTGTTACTTAATGAAGATGCACTGATAAAGTGAAACAATAGCAACTCATACTAGAAGTCTTTGCCTATGTCTTCTCTCTAATGTCCATATATTCTCTGCCAACCATCTCCTTAGCAGATAGATAAAACCTTGAACATGTGAAGAGAGAGAAGGATCATTACTGCAAACCTGGACCACCACATATAGATAATTCCTTTCTGAAAAGAGTTTATACATATATAAACTACAGCTCTGCAGGGTTCCCAATCAGCTGGGGAGAACCCATATTTAAAGAACTTGAATCCCTAACCCTAGTCAGGGTTAGGTTCTGTCTACCAAGGAACTTTTGAATAAAGTTCTTTTAGAATAATTACCATCAGAACTAGGGAGGCATCACTGCACGAATCACATTTGTTGCATTAGACCACACCTCATGCAGTCAGTCCATGTCTTTCAGACAGTCTCCCTGCAGCTCAGAGGAGCAGCGCTACCATTTTTAACCTTGCCCCTCCTAGCAATCTTGATACAGCTGTCAGAGCTGCTTCCCTGTTACTGAAAGCTGGGCTCATGCTAAGAACAATGGGGAAACTGCGAGTTTGATGAGGATCACTGTGGAGTGGAGTGGCATTAACCACTCACCCCAGCAATTTCTTCTCCTGATCTTAGCAGCTATGCAGGTCCGCATGTGCCCCCAACCCACCATCTGGCATTGCATGCAATTCACATGGCCCATCCTTACAACAATGCACTCATTCCTGCGTTTTCTCTATGCTCCTCTCTTTACAATCTCTCCTAAGGTCTATCAGCAACCTGGAGTAATGTAGGGCTAAGAGAATGATCTGGCCATCTACAATTTAAATACTATCTCAGCCAATAATTAATTTGGAAGCTAGTGGTGGGGGAGAAATGCATGTTGCTTGCATTTTCTGCAAGCTGACAAAATTTACTCTACACAAACCAAACTACTTTTCCAAATTTTGCAGTACCATTCTCTGATCAAAAGATGCATATCAACACTGTATATTGGGAGAATATGTATACAAAAGTGTGCTTATTATTGCACATATCATACAAAACTTTGTGCTTTCTACATGTTTCAGACTATGACTCGCAGGATGTCTGACCACTGACCATTCTGGTTGATGGGAGCTGAAGTATTTCTTAAATAAAAATTTCCCCAACATATCTTTTGTAAATTTTGTTTTTCTATTTATAAGCCACCACTAAAGAGTCAGACAGACTATCTAGCAAACCTTTTGGAGACTTTCAAAAGTAGCTTGTAATACAACGATGTCATCTTAAAATCTTTTGAACAATTATGCTTCAGCCTTTCAGTGAAAATGAGAACTAATCCTGACAGAAGGACTATGTTATTTGTCTTTTACTTTCCATATATGCTGCATTTACCAAGTTATGCTTTGGAAAATACATTCTTATTTTCAATAAAATAAAATAATTATCATCATTACCATCATCTTCACCACTCCTAGTTACAACAGTAAAAGTGGAAGAACTAATGCCATATTACAATTTTCTGACATGAAATTTAAGTAAAACTACTGCAATGAAGATGTATATGCTATATATTCCTATATGGGATAAATGTAGCATTTTGCTTTATTTCACTATTTTCCCTTTTTTCTTTGCTTTGGTTTTGGCTTTGATTTCAAAGTACACCATAAAAATAAACAAAGCAGAAATAAAAGTGGGCAGCATGCAATGCTACCTGTATACCTGTGAAATCTACCATGGCACAATGGGAAGTTAATGCTTCCTAAGGCAACCAGAAATGAGCCCGAGCTCTTACTTCTGGAACAGAACAGGCCTGTGGAGCACACAGGAGAGAGTTCTGCTGACCACTCCTATTTTGGACGTAAGCATTTAAGCCTATTTCTGGGGTGGCTGTAGGAAACAGTAGTTTCCTGTTGTACTGCCAGTTGGTCCTCCAAGAAACATCATCAGTGGAAGCTCACAGGTAGCCTTAAATACTGCCCATTGTGTCTTTTATGCTGGCTACAATATATTGCTGTGTTATCCTTCTCCATTTCTTCTTGTAGGATAAATTATCATTTTGGCTGTTGGTGGGGCAGCCTGAAAGTACGTGTTGATTAATTAATTAATTAAGAATATTTATATGCCGTCCTGTCGTGAAGGCCTCAGGACTGCTTACATAAATAAGCCGGTAAATATCATTTAGCGATCTCTCCTCCCTATTAGCAGGTTTGCAATGTAATGAAGAACAAAAACATAGATTCTCTTAATGCTGAATACACACATTTTAGGCCCATCTGCCTTGCATATAGTCCATGAAGAGCATGCATATAATCTTTCTAACCCAATAGCAGAGAGTAATCCTATAAAGGTGCCATATACATGGCCCTACAGTTCTATGCTATTTATAGGAGAAAAATGTCCTTCAGCTAATACAACCTACATCTTTTCAGACATCATTTGGCTTCTCATTTTTATTGTATAAAATAAATCTACATTCATATTCCCTGGAGCAACATTATTTATCCAGTTCTCCTCTCTGATGCTTGCTTCAATATAAGTTCCCTATTCAGCAAGACAAAATTTGCTTGGCTTTTCAATTTTTTTTCCTGAGATGTTCTTAATCAGCTATTGTAAAGCAGAGTGCGCAATGCATGATCGATGATGACGATGATGATGATGATGATGATGAATTTTCAAATTCCCCCTTCTACTGCTTAGGGTCAGGATACATTAACAACAACTACAGGAATATATAAAACATTCTAAAGGGGTGTGTGTGTGTGTGTGTGCACGAGCATATCAACAACATGCTACCCTTTTGGAATATGTCCCACGACTTCCAGGCCATAGCTGTGCTCCATGTCAGCAGAATAACAGGCAGCAGAGGTAGCAATGATCTACGGATCAAGGAATGACAAACAATAAACAACCTGGAAGATGGTAATAAATAAAAACAATTCAGACCTACCTTGTTTCATTGCACTTCACTTTATTGAACTTCACAGAGATTGCATTTGTTTACAAATTGAAGGTTTCTGGCAACCCTGCATCAAGCAAGTCTATTGGTGCCATTTTTCCAACAGCATCTTCTCACGTCCTGTCTCTGTGCCACATTTTGGTAATTCTTGCAATATTTCAAACTTTTAGATTTAGAATAATACATAAACTTGGTTGGTAAAGAAGCAACAGGGTGGGAGAGGACTGACTCCAATTTTGAAAGTTCTACTATGGGTAAAATCACACACTGCAGAGAAATTTTCATGAAAGGAAGAGTCAATTATGTGGCACACTTCCTTGTTGCCTTATTTTAAGAAATTGCCACAACCACCCCAGCCTTCAGCAACCACCACCCTGACCAGTCACCAGCCACCAACATTGAGGCAAGTCCCTCCACCAGCCAAAAGATGATGACCCGCTGAAGGCTCAGAGGCATTTATTAGCAATAAAGTATTTTAATTAAGGTCTGTACATTGTTTTTAGGCACATGTAATGGACTACAACATAGTGTAAACATAACTTTTACATGCACTTTTGGAAACAAAAAGATTTATGTGACTTGCTTTATGGTGATATTTTCTTATTGTGGTGGTCTGGAACTAGACTTGCAATATCACAGAGGTATGACTTTATTCTTGTTTAGGTACTATGAAACTTCTGGGTGGAAGTATTTAACTCTAATGAATGGGGTCTTATTCACTCTGAACTTCCAATGGAAGCACTTTGAGTGCCACCAAGTCTAGTTGTGTGAGACTGATTTCAGTTGGTGAATCCTGTAGATGTGGTCTAAATGCTTGGAGATGCTTGGAGACTAAATGCTCTTATTATTTATTCATAAGAATATAAACATAAGCTATTTTCCCAAGAATATTAAAATAGTTTATCTTAAGCTGGAAGATGTGAGCTGCGTATTTGAAGCATTTTCAACCAACATTTTCTGTTCAAGGTGAGCAACTTTGGGGGTAGTTGGAGGCCATTTTTGTGCCCCCAGCACTTCTCCCATGCAGTACAGTCCTGCTGCCATTGCAGTCACCCCACAGAATCCCATGGGGCAACACCTGCAGTGGCAAAAAATAATGAATGCTTTGGCACTAATATTCCATTTCAAACCACCAACATTACATATCAAATTCAGTGGTGTAGAGCTCTGATATAGCTTGTTCTCAAGCTAAATTCAACATGCTTACTGCTCTATAGTATCAACGAAGTTGGCAGGGGCCAATAAGGCCATCAGGTCCAACCCCTTGTTAAGTGCAAGACCCCATTCTTAATATAAGGCTGTGTCTAGCTGCATCCTTAATGCCTCCAGTGTGGAAGAGCCCACAGCCTCCCTAGCTATTGGCTCCATTGTTGTGCTGTTCTAATGATCAGGAAGGGCTTTTTCCCCTGATATTCAGCTGGATTCTGACTTCCTGTTTATTCCTTGTCCTGTAACACCAAACTGATCAAGAAGAGATTCTGGCCCTCCTCTCTGTGACACCTTTTCAAGTATTTTTAGAGTGCTGTCATATCTCCTTTCATTCATTTCTTCAGACAGCTTAGCATGCCCAATTCTTTCCATTTCTTCTTGTAGGGCCTTGTTTCCAGTGACCTGATACTACTTGTTGCCCTGCTCTGAACCTTTTCTGCTTCTAAGCTTCAGAACTGAAGCCAACTCATTGCCATTTTCCTTTCTGAAGTATTTATTTAATACTGTTTATATGTCAACATTTTCTGAGGAACAGTGCACTTCTGTTTACCAAAACTGTTCACACCATTATCATGATGGTAAAACCATATTGTTACTAAGGCAAAGATTTGCTCTGCACTAAATAGCTGGCAAGCACCACCAGCTCCAGAATATTAACAAGTACAAGACAGTACCTAATTTTACACTTACCAAAACCAAATCGATGGGAATAACTACTTTAATCTTCTTTTTAAATTTTTCATTTAGTTCTTTAACCACTACGAGAATCACAATGCTGAGTACAGAGAGGAGTAGTGCTTCCAACTGAATGGATTTGATGTTTTCAAAGATATAGGCATAAATCTACAGTGGAAAGAAAAACAGAACATCATCCATAAACAAAAAAATGCTTAATCCGAGTGATTAAAGAAATACATCTTCAATTTAGGAAATGATTCCTGAATACAGTCGGTTAGATCCAGACATGCCCTTCCTCAGTGGAAGTGTACCTTCCATCTTCAGAAGTGACTCTAAGCCAATGGAGGATCCTGCTAAAGTGGGGGATGATTTTTCTCAATTCCCCCTAAAGCACCCAGTTCAGTCCCAGACAATATCCCTACATTTTGCAGAAGCTTTTCAGTGGATATGTGGAGCTGTACAGAAAAGGAACCAACAGAAAAACTTGCTCCCACCTTCTAGTCCTTCTTTCTGCAGAACATCATGTAAGCAAAACGTATTGGAATTATAGACCCAAGCCAAAATATGTATGATGCAACATACAACATATGCAAGTTATAGGGTTAGCAACTGACCAGAATTTTTAAAGAAGCTCTCAGTTACTTTTGTAATTTTAACAGCAGAAAGATGCCAATAAAGTTTTTCATGGCCTGGATAGACGTTATTTGCTATATGATATTTTCCATGTGTGTATGCCTTCAGAACCAACTGCTGTTGAAGACACAGGAGCAAGGGACAATACATTTTTTCCTTCTTATTCTTACTCTTATTACTCTCTTATACTTATTTTTATTTTCAGAATTCATCTGCAATATATAGGCAAGCATGATATTTTCCATGTATATATTAACAGGCAAAAGCTAAAGTGTATACGTGGATGCCATTCATAATGACACTATGCATGTGCTTTTTCATACTTAGGAACCGATTCACTAAGCATCAGAGGTGATTGCATTAAATTTCACACATCATGCATAGCCACTTCCTTCCATCTAATAAAAACCAATCTGTGTGTGTACCCACAAAATCACAGAAATGACAAAGATAATAAAATGTAGGGTCTTTTTTCTGAAAAGTTTAAAATATGGGCAGGAGGATATAGAAACACAGCCCTCCTTCATGAGAGCAGAAACTGGTGCTCTTCTATATTCAGGAATCACCATATTTGCAATGAAATCAGAACATATATAGGCAGTTTTCTAGTAGAGAATGGGAAAAGAAGGTGTTGAATACATAAAGTGCCTTTAAATAAAATCTTACAGAGTGATCTTCTGTTCCCACAGTCAGTCACACTGCCAGAGCTAAGGTCAACATAACCTAGTCTAAATTATTTTGCATGGGGGCATTTGTCATTATAATAGGGTGACATCTTCACGCTTGGTCTAACCTCAGGAGAAAAAAACAGATTTTTGTAGATGACTCAGACATTTGGATGGGTGGGCAATGAAACCACAACCTCAACCCACATGTTGTCCTTATATAATCAAACAATGAAAATGTTATATTAGCTGGCTTGGGACTCAGCAGCTAGAATGTCATGGCTGCCCAGAAATGTGTGCTACAGGGAGCATGAGGCTTTGGCTCTCTGCCCTACCAGGAGCTGTGACTGACTAGGACAAAAGACAGGAACGTAGAATGTCATGTCAGAATGTCAGCAAATCGACCAAAGGGTCGATCCAAAGAGCAAACAAAAAAGAAGAGTTGGCATAAGTCCCACTATCGATGAGCTAAAGATGACATACTTGCCTGTTTTGTTTCAAACATGTGGTTTTCATTGAGCATGCATCATATGTGCCAACCCAGTTTGAAACCCTTATGTTTTTAAGGGTCTATGAAGACATCCAGAAATGGGGAGGTGGGGTTAATAATAATGGTTAATGTGGAAAATAGCAAACAGTAATTTTGTGGATTACCATCATCCATTTTGCAGCTGTTTGCTATTCTAGAATATCATCACCCATTTCACAGTTGATGACTATTCATTCTGCCACAACAATCCGTGTGGGGTGTATGCTACTTATCTAACACTTTGTAGGATCAACAGGATCAGAACAGTAGTTGCAGCAAACTTGAGTTAACTGATACTTTTTGTATGAGGTCCTTTCTATCTCACTGCCTGTTTGAATGCTATCATAATGGAAGGTGGCAAGTTTGCCATCAGGACAGAGTCTGAGGAGGCCTCCTGCTTTGTACTTTAGCTTTCATGGGATTTCTTAGTTTTATTTTGGTGACATAAAGCAGTAGATACATATTTCATTATGCACAATATTGGGATGGCCAATATTGAGATTTTAGTTGGAAAGAAATGATATAAGAAGTCATCTACTGGAAAATGCAGTTCAGTTTGGATGGCTCTAAAAGGAGACTAAACAAATTCATGTAGGAGAATGCTAACAATGGCTCTTGGTTCCAAGATATGCTATCTCTGTCATCAGCAACTGCATTTTCTGGGAACATGGGCAGAAAGGTGTTGCATTTATGTACTACTTGTGGAATTTACATGAGCAACTGGTTGGCCACTGTATGAACAGAATGCTGAACTAGAAGGATCTTCTGTCTGATCAAGCATGGCTCTTGCATTCTTAAGGCTATGGAATTCACTCCACAAGATGTAATGATGGGCACCAATTTGGATGGCTTTAAAATGGGATTGGACAAATTTATGGAGAAGAAGACTAGCTGTGGTTACTAGTCCTGATGTGTATATGTTATCTCCATTATCAAAGGCAGCATGCCTATGTTCCCCAGTTGCTGGGGAACATGACAGGAGGGCATTGTTGCACTCGGGTCCTGCACTTGGGTTCCTATGAACAGCTGGACTAGATGGACCCTTGGTTTGATCCGGGACTGTCCTTCTTCTATTCTCATATTTAACTGAGTCTGAACACTAGAAGTGGCCATGCCATGATCATTTAATCTATCATACCATGTATCCAGGATATTAGCCCCATCAGTCATTTCCTTGGCTGTCTGAAGCGGTAAAATTTAAGCCAAAGACCTGCACTGAGAGATCCCATCACTCCATGATACTCATACAGTGTCTAATGCTATCAAGCTATTCACAAATAAGTGGCACAAGCTCCATTCCCTTCAGTGAAAATAAATAGTCTGAAATCATAATAGGACTGCAGAGACAGAGTGTTCTTAGTCTTTGCAGAGATGAGACTTACACCTACCACTAATATGCAGATGTCTAGTCCCAAGGACTGTTGGGTTGCAGTCATATAACGCAACAGTGCACACTAAACAATGAACAGGCAAGCTGATAAATCAGCAGGTTAAATTGTCAGCATGTATAAGCTTAAAGGAAAACCATTATGGGTTTTCCAAACGGGTGCACCTACAAAAGCAAACAATTTAGTCAAAATACTGGAGCCTACTCTTAACATCAATCCAATTTTACAAGCAAAAAGACCCATTAAGTTGTTAAAAAGTGCTTCTCTACAACATTTGGCAGCCAAATGCAACATGGACTGGGAATAAAGTTGCTTTACAAAAACAATTTAAATCTAAGACTTGAACCATCTAACTCAGAAACTTGTTCATAAAGATTAAGCAGCCAGACCTTTAATTTAGTTCTGCTTTTTTAATGTTCAAAGATTTCTTTCTCTTATTCTTCTTTTCAGAAAAGTTGCAACAACATGCCAGTTCTCATGTGGCATCCCGCCACCCCTTGTCCTGAGCAGTAGGTTTAGAAGTTGGATGATTTATTTTTAATTCTTCACTCACCACATTTCTCAAGAATATGCAGGAGGGCTGAGTACAGCTCTAGGTAGCCAATCTGAAAAATGCATGTGACATGATCTTTCCACATGTGGGCGCAGCATGATCCTGGAAGGATCACCTGGGAGGTAAAGAAACCCTATCTTCTCTTATGTCAGGTACACGAACACTCAGAATGCCAGGCTGTCATGGGGAACAGGAGAGCCATGGATGCCTTCCATAGCCCACTTGAACCCTTTTGCTTCTGCTCCATCAAGACACATAAGCTTCAACTTTACTTCATTCAGTGAGTGGAAGAGATGTGATGGGAGTCATGCACAAGGTATGCAAAGCTACGGAGAGGGGACAGATGTCCAGAGACATCAAAGAAGCCAAGGGAAGCTTTCCAGCCATCTTGTCTCCTAAAGCATTAGGATCTCTGATCCATGTAGATCAGGATGATCAACTGATGGGAGTCCAGGAGCCATTTTTGTGCCCTCCCTTGACCATCCCCCTGGAAGAGGAATTCTTTAGGGAAAAATAAAAAGTCCAGTTTAGTATCAAGCTGTAGTTGACTCATTTAAACAGCATGCTGGGCTTGTTCCCCCTGAACCATTGCTGATTTTGTGTTATTTGGGGCATGTTGGGTGCATGCAGCTCATGATATATTGCCTACACCAATGCTTAGAGATAGGGCGGGCAGTGAACCATCTAACTCAGCATCACCTTCCCAAATTGGAAAGCATACCTGCATTATGAACCTTGCTGTGACTTGCTTTCCCTTCTAGAATTTACTTAACACTGCCACCATTCACTGCAGCTGGGGCAACAAAGAACCTGAAAATTCATGTCACCTGGAATGGCAGCAACATTCAGCAGCCTCTCCCACAAACATTCTTTGTCAGAGTCAGATCTGCTGTCCCTTTAACTCCCCTTTAACCAAATACGTAACATGAATTTGTTCAGCTTGTACCAGACCCCAAGTGTGAAAGACCAAAGCTTATTACACATAAGCATTGGGGAAAACAGAGGAATCAGGTAGCATGCAAAATAAATAAAACATTTAACTCTGTTCATAATTCTACTAATACAGACTTACAGCTAAGTTCTGCAACCTATGTGCATCCCACATGGTTCACCAAAGGTCTGCTGAGAAGGAGTCACTGTTATAAACATAAGGAGAAAGTCCTTCGTTTTTAATGCTGAAGAATGAGTGGTGGGCTGACAGGGAAGGAAAAAATCTTCCCATCAGGGATGACAGTTATCCTTTGGATTGATCTCTGGTTAATTTCTGCATGTAGGCAATAAAACAACCAGTTTTCATCCTCATCCTCTGATTTAGTCAGGGCAAGATGCATGAAGGGAAGACATTTTTGCTTGATGGCTACCAGACAGGGATCACTGGCAAGGCCAGTGAAGGGAAG